GGCGTCTTAGGATGAATATTTATCTCAATTATTGATCAGCACCTGATTTTCTCTGAGTTGTGCTGTTTTGGCTTTCTTGTGATGAAGTTACCTGCATGGTGAACTGATTCTAACTTGATCCATTTGTCTCGACACATGTATCACTGTTGGAATTTATATTTTAAAGTCTTTTTGTTCTTAATATGACCTTTATTTTTCAGGTCATTGCCAGAGTATTGTCAGTAAATCTGTTTTCACCCAATTTAGGGCACATAAAAGTCTGATTTCATCGTTATGTTTTGATCCTAGTGGGATGCTTTTGGTGACGGCTTCAGTTCATGGCCATAACATAAATGTATTCCGAATAATGCCTGGACCATTGGGAAGTTCCTCTGGACCAGATTCTGGTGCATCTTATGTACATCTTTGTAGGCTGCAACGTGGTTTTACAAATGCAGTAAGGACAAATGAATAATAAGCAATAACGACATTTTGAGCTTTCATATTCCACTGTGGTGTATATAATTATGTTCTCAGTTATAGCAAAGCATGGTCAGTATAATTACGAATCCAAACTAAACAACAAGTAATTTATTCATAGTAAAGCAAATTCAAAATTTATCATAGATTACATATCGAGACAAAAACATTCAAGAAATATAGAATATAAGAGTTGCAAACAAAATAAGAGCATATTAACATAAATTTCTAGATTTTCAGATTTGAACCAGTTTGAAAATAATTATGAAAAAAATACTTTTATTGGCCTTAAGTACCTGGCCTCATGTGAGTTTGTAGATAAACAAGTCTAGTTTCAAACTCAATTTACGAAAGTAGGATAGGCATTTTAAATTTTAAGATAATTCAGAATTACCAAGATCTATCCAGATTCGTTGACTGTTACGCAAATCAGTTTTTCTCTCAAATCCCTCGCTTTCTTGAGTTCAAACAAATTTTAGTTGAAATAAAACACCAAGATTAAGATTTTGACATAAATTGGACTCAAGATTATTTTTCTGGAATTTTCTAAAAATAGAAAAAAGTTGACTGTTTTTCTGGTTCTGTGAGTAACAAACTTACAAAAATTGTTTAGGTTATAAAAATACATCCTTAGGTCTTACCAAAATTATCACATACTCTAGGCATACCAAATATTACACCATAAAAACTGATTTTGAGTCTATGGAGATTTGATAGGAAAATAAATTCAAGAGAGGGAAAAGAAATAGGGATTTCCTACTCCATATTATAGGTTTTGTTCTAAGTTTTGGTATTTTGATATGTTGGGAGTACTTTGGTAATTTTGGGAAAAACCCTAGTTGTTGTAATAAATTAATTTATATAATTAATTTAGGGAAAATTGGGAAATTTAGTTGAATTCATGGAATTAATGAATTTATTGATTAAGTGGTGTAGTTGGTAGTTTAATCATTCACCTATGAAAATTTTGGAATTATGTTAGTTGATATATTTATTTCCAGTCTAGAAATAACTGTTTTGGGCTATCGGTGGAGGATAGTCGTGTTTGTTGTAGACATTGTATGTGGATTAGGGAAAATTGAAACTAATCAATTTGTTTAAGTCATAAATTTAGACTATTGAATTAATACAGAATATACATGTATTGATTGAGCATTGCATATGCATATTGTTTGGGAGGAGATAGGGGATGTACTCCACGGTTTAGGGGAAGATAGGGGATGGACCTCTAAATCGGATTTTTGTTTGGGAGGAGATAGGGGATGTACTCCACGGTTTAGGGGAAGATAGGGGATGGACCTCTAAACCGGATTTTTGTTTGGGAGGAGATAGGGGATGGACTCCATTAGCATCACTATTATGTGTGCTTATTATATTGAAGTGTTTTTACATGTTATTGATACAGCACTAAAATGTGTATCAAATGAGAAGTACGAAGTGTTTTGATATGAGCCTGAGTCTCATCTGTGTTGTTGATATTGGAAGTAATGTGAATGTGATATATAGTTCACTGTTGTAAGTTTGGCCAGGTTCTGAGCCTTATTGATAATAAAGAAAAGTGAAACGTGTCATAGACATTAGTGTCATGAAACTGTATAATGATGTAATTGATTATCTTGGTTAACCATCTATTGAATGCCATAGCTTTATTCATTGCTTATATTTGGTTTAGTATTTTTCTACTGGGCTGTGGCTCACCCTTTATGGGAACATCATTTTCAGGTTCAGGTGATAAGCTACCTCCAAGGACTTAGCTTGGAAGGAATTGGAGTTGAAGACTCTGTTTAGTTTAGTTGTTATTTATTTATTTGATATTACATGTAAACATTCAAGCCTAGGGCTTTATTTGTATTTGAGTTAGAACTCATATTCTGTGTCCAAGTGTTGGCTTGGAAAGATGTTAGCCCGTAGGGCATTTAATTTGATGTTACATGTAACGCTTTTATTTAGTAATACTCTGATGAATGAATTAATGAATTGTTTTCTTTAAATATTGCATGTCAATGATCTTGGCTTCCATTTGACACTGTTTCTCGACACTTATCAAGAATTTGGAAGGATAACTGTTAAAGATAGATGCTCTGACTTGTTCTCCTTTTTTGGTTCCAATATTGAGCTTTCCATTGGTGATGGAGGATCAGCATCCTTCTGGAACGATTCGTGGCTTAAGGCATGTCCACTAAAGAAGGAATTTCCAAGACTTTTTAGCCTTTCTTTGCTTAAAAATGAGTCAGTGAGATTTTTTCTGGATCAGTGGGAAGTTGATAGCGAGGGCTCATTTAGAAGAGCTCTTCGACCTTGGGAAGAGGAATCATTAGAACTCTTTCATAATCTCATTTGCCAAGCTCAGTTTCAGCTCAATGATAACCAGGATATGTTGCTGTGGAAGGCCCATCCTTCGAACGCTTGCTCAATTCACATCCTCTATAATTGGCTCGAATCCTCCTCTGAGTCGAAAGTGAGAATCATGTCCTTCATTTGGGGGAATGTCATACCTCCTAGAGTCCAATTTTTTGGATGGTTAGCATAGAATGGTAGAATCAAAGTCGCTGATTTGCTACTGAAATTTGGTAGTCTTAATAACCCGAATTTGAGTGTCTGTCATTTCTGCAGATCAGATACTGAAACAGTGGACCACGTTCTACTTTCCCGTAATAGGGTTTGGAAGATTTGGGTGGTTTGTCTTGACTGGTGGGGTATTGAATGGGTGAATCCAAATTATGTTAAATCTCTGCTTTTCAGGTGGTATGGAAATAGAGTAAGAAAAATGGATAAGGCCATTTGGGTAGCAAATATTTTTCGCAGTTCTATGGTCAATCTGGTTAGCCAGGAACCATATAGTTTTTCAAAATTTGCAACCTAATTGGGATTCCATCCTCGATCTTACAAAGATAAGAGTGGCATTTTGCGTCAAGGCAAAAACAAATCTCATGAAGTATTTATTAATGACTTTGTCTACCATCTGCAGCAAATTAGATTGGGCTCTTCGTGATTCAGTTTTTGGCTTATTTGGATTTTGGTGTGGAATATGCTCTGTTTTTGGTGTCAGGTAGTGAAGTCTTCTGTTGCCTTTTGCCTTTTGCCTTTTGCCTGCTGCTGCAAGTATGGACAATTAGGGATTAAGTTTGTTAAAAGTTTTAAAAAAAAATTACTAAAAAATTAAAAATTAAAAAAAATATTTAAAAAAAATACAACGCACAAATGTAATAAATATAACGTATATTAAAATAAATAAATAAATAAATATTTACAATAAAAAAACATTTACCCTAAAAAAATAAAATTAAGAAAATTTTTAAATATTTAAAAAAAGCAAACCTAAAAAATTTCAAAATATAACTCAAAACTCAAAATATGACTCAAAATTCTTTTCAAAACTAATTTAAAAAACTCAAAACTCAAAATACAACTCAAAACTCAAATCATGATTGGTGGGGTATTGAATGGGTGACTCCAAATTCTGTCAAATCTCTATTTTTCAGGTGGTATGGAAATAGAGTAAGAAAAAAGGATAAGGCCATTTGGGTAGCAAATATTTTTCGCAGTTCTATGGTCAATCTGGTTAGCCAGGAACCATATAGTTTTTCAGAATTTGCAACCTAATTGGGATTCCATCCTCGATCTTACAAAGATAAGAGTGGCATTTTGCGTCAAGGCAAAAACAAATCTCATGAAGTATTTATTAATGACTTTGTCTACCATCTGCAGCAAATTAGATTGGGCTCTTCGTGATTCAGTTTTTGGCTTATTTGGATTTTGGTGTGGAATATGCTCTGTTTTTGGTGTCAGGTAGTGAAGACTCCTGTTGCCTTTTGCCTTTTGCCTGCTGCTGCAAGTATGGACAATTAGGGATTAAGTTTGTTTACGGTTTGGTATTGGACTGTTAGAAATTGGTATTGGCTAACTTTTCTGAAGTTAAGACAGAGAAGTTTCTAAAGGATTTATTGCTCATGTCAAAGGTATTGGCTTTCCTTTGTTAAATGGCAGTGGAAATTCTTAGGTTGCTTAGTTGTTGTTTTGGTGCTTTGGTGTTCTCTTTCTATCAGTTTTTGTTGATTTCTTAGCAACCTTAATCTGATTTTTTGGAGGTGCTTGCACATGATTCCCCGTCTCATCTTGTACCAACCTAGTTGGGATGATTCGGGATTGCTATGATGCAGTCTTCATGCACTTCCTTTTCTTCCTTTCCTTTTATTGATGTACTCATCATTGTTTACTCAATAAAATCGCCCATTTTTTGCAGATTAAAAAAAAAAAAAAAGGCTTCAGAAGCATATCAAAATAGGGAGCAACAGGAGACATCCATCTAGGCTCCCTAACCTTATGTCAGTTTTTGGTCATTTCGTCTATTTTTTGACGTTATAATATTCTTTTCACATTTACTATTATTGAATATGTCATTCAACCGAGGTGTTGAAAGCAAGGACTGGCTCAGCCAAACCCCTTGGGTTAAAGGTATGGACTTTGATCCTATCATATTAAATTCCGCAATCATGAACTAAAGCATTTCGACAAAATTAATCATTTTTTATTCCTATTTGGCTTATTATCAATTAAAGACAACCTAAATTGCCCTTTGAAATTCAACTAAGGGAGTACGGAAAAGCTCAACGGCTTTTTTTTAATTTATTTTATTTTAAAAGTGAGTGGCCAGTTAGTGAAAGAAAACTTTTATTTGAATAAAATCTTATAATTTGAATAAAATGTTACCTGAGCAACAGTCTTCCCTTTAGCCTCAGCAATCTCTTAAGTATCTCACAATCCATGACTAGGTTGGTTCCCCACCGTGTTCCTTTCGCACCTAAGGGTGAGTATGCTTTAACATGAATACCCTTTTTCTCACAGAATTCCCTTAACTTCTTTTGCTGTGAAACTGGGTTCATCTCCACCTTCATTATTCAACCCACACATGCAATGCAATACAATACATAACATACTAAGTTTTTTGAGAAATGCCTTTACCCCAAAATATACCATTAATTTGAAATGAAAGTACAAATAAATAAATAAAATCAACCTAAGAATTTTAGGCCCCCAAAAAATAGATACTAACAAGTCAAAGAATCATTCCGAATGATTGCGAATCATTTGGACAAAACATGAGAGTTTTGCACTACCTACCCCCCCCCCCCCCAAAAAAAAAAAAAGAAAGAAGAAGATAGTAACAAGTCAAAGAATCATTTCTGATGATTGCAAATAATTTGGAGAAAACATGAGAGTTTTGCACAACACTTGAGATATTAAAACTCTCATGTTTTGTCCAAATGATTCGCAATCATTCGGAATGATTCTTTGACTTGTTAGTATCTATTTTTTTGGGGCCTAAAATTCTTAGGTTGATTTTATTTATTTATTTGTACTTTCATTTCAAATTAATGGTATATTTTGGGGTAAATTAATATCATTTCTTGTAATTAAAAAAAGAGAAAGAAAAAGAAGAAGTCATTTCTCAAAAAACTTACTTAGTATAATAATGTATTGCATTGGATTGTGGGTCGAATAATGAAGGTGGAGATGAGCCCACTTTGGCAATAGAAGAAGTTAAGGGAATTCTGCGAGAAAAAGGGTATTTACTTTACAGCATACTCACCCTTTGGGGCTAGAGGAACACTGTGCGGAACCAACCAAGTCATGGATTGTGAGATACTAAAAGAGATTACTGAGGCTAAAGGGAAGACTGTTGCTCAGGTAACATTTTATTCAAATCAAAGTTATATATATATACGTGTGTAATTCATATCATATTGAAGATCCCTCCATATGATTGGTGGAGCAATCCTGTAACACTTTGCTTGATCAGAGAGTGCTATGTGGCTCCTTCCATCTATGCAGGTTCTCTAGAGCCATTTTCCTAAAATAAAGGTAAATGATTATAGTTATGAGATTCACTGTAAATCCCTCCATGTACACCCTTATCCTGTATTGCTTAGCTGATCGACTATGCCTACCTCGACCAAGTTTTGCTTGAATTGCCATACTGTGCTGCCTATTTATACATCAAAAAAATAAGCACTTAAAAATTGCATAATCCAAAAGTCTAGAACAAAGTTACAATGACCAACAGAAAACATATATGGCCACAATCACAATCCTGTTCCTATTGCCATATTCTTATCCTTCTAATTGCCTAATATCTTTATTTGAATGGTAAGTATAATTTAATAATTGTTTGTTCAAAATAATCACAATTCTACTACATAATATAAACCTCAATATTGTATATCCGAATACATATAGGTCATGCCAATTAAAATTTACATCATAATCTCAACAAACAACTAAAAATCTTATGATACTCGTAATCAATAATGAAAATAATCACTGTTACTAAGAACATTTATCCTTAGGGCTTTGTTTCCACATGTAGGAAATAATATACGAATCGTATCTACTCAATAACAATAAATTATTTTATTTATCAAAAAAAAAAAAACAATAACTTATTGAAACAACATAATAATTTAATTAATAGTGGCATACTCATGTTTATGACCATTGACAAATATTTGCAAACAAAATGAGATGGCTTGGTACCACACCCAATCTTCGAGACTGATAGGATTTAACAACCATATAACCAATATCTATAGGTGATTGGGTAGCGATTGGTAACGTGAATTCCATTCCAATTATGACTCCACATGGCACAAGTCACACATCAGAATCTTACAACTATTACCCGTAATAGCCGATCTAAAGGTTAAACCATAATCATTGTGCTAATAGTAAACCAGTAGATAGTAAGTACCAATTTTACTAAGGTCACCATCATTAATTCGAGTTCATTTAAACAAAACAAAATATGAGTCATAAAATCCAAAATTAAAACAATATATACCTAATTCTTTTGTCGAGTGTAATCTATAACTATAATCTTTACATTATCTTAATGTTGTTACATGAAAAGGTTTGCTTGAGGTGGGTTTATGAGCAAGGAGTGAGCGTACTTGTGAAGAGCTTTAACAAAGAGCGGATGGAAGAAAATCTTGACATATTTGATTGGACACTAAGCCCTGAAGAGTCTAAGAAGATTAATCAAATTCCCCAACAAAAAGGGTGTCCTGGACTCGAGTTCACATCCGACCAAGGCCCCTATAAATATGTTGAGGAGCTTTGGGATGAAAAGATCTAATGCTATGTTAAGCAGTTCCATCTGGTAATGAATAAGTTGGAGAGACTGTTATGACTTTTTAAGGTTATAATTTGAAGGAAAAAATTGTTGCTTTTGGTTTATTGTGAAAGGACATTCTCAATACAAGAGATTTCTGTCACTGCAGATATAGTGATTATTAGATGTATGTTGACTTACTTCTACGTAAAAAGACTTTTATATTTTGTTTGTTTGTATTTTGATTTTTCAACTTAATTTTGTTCTTTTTGCATTCATCAATTCTGCTTCCAGTGTATTGTGCCTTTTATTTATTTACTTTTTCCCCTAATGAAATGAAGTGTTTATGAACCTATGGCATTGTACCAGAGTGTTATGCTTTCTTACTCCCATAGTGGAGGTTGCGAGTTCAAACCTATGTGGGGCACTTGGGTGATCATCTTCCCATTCCCCGTAGATCTAGGCTAGAGTACGTCTTAACAAGTGACGAAGAAAATGATAATTTTATGAGGGGAAAAAAAAAAAACTAGGGAGATATCAAAATAAATAATGCTTAAATCAATAAAAAGTTGACATGTTTGTCCACCTCATTAAGAGAAAATTTAGGAGTGATGTCTTAAGCGTTTCCCATATCAATACAATTTAAATTGTATGCAACCAAAGAATTATTTGAAAGTTTGCAAGGTTAGACAAATCAACATATGCGTTAGTAAAACTGAACATGAAGGACTTATGTATTGTTAACGAGGGATAAGCAAGACAAAGCAACTCAACATGGAATTTTTGTCACGCCTTGAATTCAAAGACCGAGAACTGTAAATTGCAACTAAATTATGTTTTATGATAAAGAATATTAATTTGTGGAGTTAATTGAACATATAAGGGTAACAAAATCACTCAAAAGTCAAAATTATTGACTGAAGCATATGGAGCTCACTAGCCAGCCACATGCAATCGCACATGCCCACACTATTACAAAAAAGAAAATGCTATGGTGTTAAATTTTTTACCAAATAAATGATCAAATGTCTCGGAAAATTATAGAATATTTTTGAAATATCACATGTCCGTACTTTTTAACCAATCATCATTTAATATATCCCTTCATGTTCCCCAATCATTCAATATAATACCTTACATACTCACATTTTTCACTAATCATAATACTACGGAATACCACGTGTCTATACTCCGAAATTACTAAATAATTATTCAAGTTTTGTGAATTCCAGACTCAAGTGAAACATTTAGTAATTTATTTAGTAAAAAATTTGGTATCGCTAAAATTATCCTTACAAAAATTTGAGAACTATGATCTTTCATAAACAATCTCAGTTTTTTCCATCTTATGAAGCGTGATTTTTTTGGATGTGATTGTTTATTTATGGTCATAATCAATCACATTTTTTAACCGTAATTATTTTTACAAACCTGAGATCAATAATATAGTAAGGAGCTCACTTTTTGAAAAAATCATGATCTTTTATGGTATTATTAATATCAGTTTCATATAATTAAAAAAAACTATAATCTTTATGGACTGATAATCACGGTAAAAAACTATGATATTTTATGCCCCTTTTAAACTAAAACAATAAAATAAAATAAAAATAGTTTCTTTAACCAACAGAATAAAAATAAACCCACAATACATATTATCCTTTCTCCTATACTAAATATATTATATCTCATACACTAAATGTATTCATAAAAATTATGAAATTTACAAAATCATATAAGTTTTTATGAACTTACATAAATTATTTCATAAAATATATAACTCAAACCACAAAATTATGTGCATGGCAGACACGGGGTGGCAGGCGGGGGCCACCGCCTCGCAAACTTTTAAAAAATTAAATTTTTATCATGCAATTTAAAAATATTTATAAAGGAAATTTGCATTTTGATCCCTTCAAAATATATATAATTTTACTTCAATCCTTTCAAAATCTAAATAATTTTATTTTTGCTATATTAAATTTTGAAAATTTTCATTATTTTCATGCAATTTTTAGTAATTATAAAATAAATTAATATTTTAGTCATCTTAAACCTTTGAAAAATCTCATTACTTTCATGTCATTTTGAGTTTTTATAAAATAAATTAATATTTTAATTTCCAAAATCTAAACCAAACCAAACCAAACCAAACCAAGTCTTAAGTCCCATTAAATAGGGTCGGCTACATAAATCCTTCTTCTCCATGCGGCCCTATCAAAGGTCATTTCATTAGTCAAATTAAGTAGATCCATATCTCTATTTACAACGCTAGTCAACGTTAATCTAAGCTTACCACGTTCCCTAACACTTCCATCTACCGTTACAGTATCTCATCTATTCACTACTGCCTCTATTAGTCTCCGTTGAATATGACCAAACTATCTCAATCGATTCTCTCTCAACTTATCTTCTATTGGTGCTACTCCTACCTATTCCCGAATACATTTATTCCTAATTCTGTCTTATCTAATCTTACCACACATCCACCCTAGCATCCTCATCTCAGCCACACTCATCTTATTTACATGTTGTTTCTTGGTTGCCTTACACTCCGTCCCATACAACATAACTGGTCTAATAGTCATTCTATAGAACTTACCTTTTAGTCTAGTGGGTATTCGTTTATCGCACAGTACCTCAAACGCACTTCTCCAGTTACACCATCCCGCCTTAATCTTATGGACTACATCCGCATCAATCTCCCCTACTGTTGTGATAATCCCTAAATAACAAAAAATTTCACTCTTAGGCAGTTCTTGATTCTCAATCTTCACTTCTCCTCTACTTTTATTGTTATTGTTACTAAATTTACATTCTATGTACTCCGTCTTAGTTCTGCTTATTCGAAATCTTTTAGATTCAAGAGCTTTTCTCCAAATCTATAACTTTGTGTTAACTCATTTTCTAGTCTCATCCACTAGCATAATATCATCTGCACCATGACACGCCATCTTGAATATTTCTTGTCAACTCATCCATAATTAAAGCAAAAAGATAAGGACTTAAGCATACAACTTTGTACAATTTCTATGTCCGCCACTACACGTAAGAGTTTTCCTAATACTTATTATTTATTAGAGTTGGAGTCATTACCGTGCGGCTTGCACAATAATGACTGTTGTACGGCTCATGGAAATTATTTCAAATTTTATTTTCATCATCGAAACCGTTAAATTTTAAAAAAAATCTAGTAGAACAAACTTGTAAAAAATCAAGTTGATCGGATATTGATAAACCCTTCATCAACTCATATTTGTATTCAATTTAATACTTATATATTTATTTTTTATATACACAGATTCGAGTTGATGAAGGGTTTATAAATATCTGATCAACTTGATTTTTTACAGGCATGTTCTATTCGACGTTCTTTAAAAATTGAACGGTTCAGATGATGAAAATAAAGTCCAAAATAATTCTCAAAAACTGCACAACTTCTTATATATTCTCCTCAGACAATATCAAATTCAAACAATCAGCCTAAGATCTCATGCCAAGGAACAACACCACCATCAAATTCAATAAAACCTCCTAGTGCCAGCCATAGCTATCCATTGAACCAAAAAGATTGACCTCTATCTATCAAAAGGTTTCAAATGGGGCACATGGTCCCAAAAAAAACAAAAAGAAAAACGGTGGAAATAGAAACCCAAAATAGGGGCACCATATATGGTCCTTGGCCATTTTGCTTTGGTTTGAATTGTGAAAGAAAACCAACACCCATACCTCTAGTCTTTATGAATCCTTTTTATTGTTTTGTTTCTTTGGTTTTATCATTTTCTTTTTTTGGTGAAAATTAGTTTTAACATTTTCAAAAATGGGACTTGCAGTGTTGTTGTGTAGTGTGTGGTATCTAATAAATTAATTAAAAACTTAGTACCAGAAAATTAAATATGTAAATAAATGGAAATGAAACTGTGACACCTGACCTGACTGCTCTGATAAAAGTGTGTGTGTGTGAGAGAGAGAGAGAGAGAAAGAGAGAGAGAGCAAATGTGGTATGTTCAAAAGTGGATTTCAGTCACTTTGAAATCTGGGCACTTTCGGAAAAAATTCGATTTTTCACCCCCCGGGCTCTGATACCAATTATTGGGGATCGAGGGCACACCAGGAAACACAACCAAGCAATAACACAAGAGTTTTAACGTGGTTCGGCAAGTCGCCTACGTCCACGAGCAGCGGATTTACTATATGGAGAGAAATGAAAGAATTACAATGGAAACACACTTTGATAGTTGTTCACTCACTCTATCAACTCTCCCCTTAGCCTCTCTATTTATACACATTACAGATGGAGGTGGAGAGGCTGGCCTTGCACATGGCTAGCTGTTCTATCACATGGCCAGATCATTTCTTCGCCTTTCGGTGGCCGTCCATGTTGGTTGGCAACATGCTGCAGCTCATGGAGAATCACCTTGTAGGTTGGCAAGCTAGCTCATGGAGAATCACCTTTGTAAGTTGGCAAGCTTGTGCACATCACTTGTAAAGGGAATCACCCCTCACATGGGGTGATATCCAACAAATCACCCCCTCAACCCATGCGAGTAGTTCGCGGTTGAATCTTTAGCCCAATCTTCAACAAATCTCCACCTTGGCGAGGATTCTCTTATCCAACATAGTGATCGATCAACACTGCCTTGCACCTAAAGGTGCTCAGTTCTGAGAGATGTTGACCAAGTCCAAACAATGTTGGAACTTGATCCCATAAACCACTTTTGTGAGCATATCGGCTGGATTATCTGCAGTACTAATCTTTTGAAGCAGAATATCCCCTTCATTCACAATTTCTCGGATGAAATCGAAACGGACATCAATGTGCTTGGTGCGGGAATAATGAACCTGGTTCTTTGCCAAACAAATGGCACTCTGACTGTCACAGTACACCTCAACGTGCTTCTGAACAATACCTAAGTCCTCAATCAACCCATGTAGCCAAATAGCTTCCTTAAAGGCTTCCGTCACTGCCATGTACTTTGCTTCTGTAGTAGACACAGCCACCGTTGACTGAAGCGTTGACCTTCAACTCACCGGTCCTTTAGTAAGCATAAATAAATACCTTGTTGTTGATCGGCGTTTGTCCAAGTCACCAGCATAATCTGAGTCCACATATCCAACCAAATTCTGCCCAAGTCGGTTATCTCTCTCGAACTTTAATCCTAGATTAACCGTGCCATGTATGTACCTTAGGATCCATTTCACTGCCTGTCAGTGATCTTTTCCTGGATCATGCATATACCTGCTTACCATACTCACAGCATGTGAG